GTTTCAACCCATTTTGTATTTCCTTTTAGAATTTGGACGCAATCAACATAATATCTTCCATATTCCCATACAGTCTAGTACCACTGGATTTAAATTCAATATGAGATTCTCCATTACTATCACTGGATGGATCTTTGACTTTTCCTTCCTTCGCTACAGTATCCATCCAAAATGTATCCCAGTCCTCTTGGGTTTTTCTTCCAGCATCCATCCTCCTCTTTTATTTTCAAACCAGTGGCTGATAATACATTTAGGTTCATGCCATCTCAGCTGACTTATTGAAGTTTCCCAGCACATGTCTCCAGCTCCACTGTCAGATCAGGATTCCTAATATCTCTGACTTGCTTCAAGACTTCAGTAGCTAGCCTCCTCATCCTCTTGCCAACAAGCCCCTGTGGGGGCTCATCGGAACACAATTTGAAAACCACTGTCTTATATAAACCATCTGTCCCAACATGGTTTTCTCAATATGTCTCTTATATTTCTACTTCAATCCTGGAATATGTGCTTCTTGCTTACAAGGCCTCCTTCCCTCATTGTTTCCTCTTCTTTCTTTTTTTCCATTTTTTTTCCTTGAAGATCCAACCCTCCTCCATAGATTCCTAAATTACTTTCATTGTGAATTTTAGAATTTGTCAGGATTAGTCATTTTGCCTTTAGCCTATTCTATTAGATCGTTTGATGAATTTTTAAATGTATAAATAACCGACTTCGAAAATAGATAATTTTCTCACATATAGCAAGGATTTGGTGCTAGTTGATTTTATGCATACAGGTGCTTTGCCTTTATTTTTTTAATCGCTATGTTGAATAGAACCAGTCAAATTAATAAACACAATGTCCCTAACACCTAACTTTTGTAAGAGTAGAAAATAATAATGTATTTCAGTTGGAACATGGGGAAGATTAAATGTCTTAGTGACTAGTGGGACAATTTTTATGGACCACCACTGTTAATATTGTAATTTATTACTGCTCCAATGTGAATATTACTTAGTAATTTATTGCTGACATCTGAAATGTTTTCTAGGTTTTTTGGGGGGGTTCATTTTCTTTAATATTGAGCTCTACTGTAGATGTTTGCAATCTGGGAGGTCAGGCATAAAGCCAAAGC